CCGCACAACCCAACTTGGATAGACAAGAGGCGTCAACATCTAATGCAGAAAACCATTCCTCTATTAAACCACACACCGCAGGAAATGAAGTTGTTAATGGCGGTGCAACTGGAAAGGAGAACAAGCAGAGGGCCGCAGTGACGGGGGGACCTTCCAGCGACACACAATCAACAACATTGCAACCAGCTCCACAAGAACAACCAAAAACCGAACCAATAATAGTGCCCGCAGGAAAAGAACGCACAACAGACCCACATAGTCGAGAAAAAGAAGAAAGAGACTCCAAGAAAGCACCACCACCACCGGCAAATTCAGCAGGAGGAACTCCAGCAGCAAAAGACTTACAAATTTCAACAGAGGAAATGCACAAAACGTCACCGTCAGAAACCCAAAAGGAGCTTTTGGGGCAAGAAACGCCCTCAAATGATGACGCAGAAAATCAAAACACTGAGGGCACAGCAACAACGGATTCGGTGAGGGACGAAGCTGCCAGCAGCTTAGTGGAAACAACAGCTTCACCCATCTCTACAAGTGGCGATGCTGATACAAAGAGTGTAGCGAGTAAGGATGCTGATAATGCTCAACAGACCAATCATAAAGAAACACACAAAGACCCCGAACCTTAAAACACGAATCCTGCTTTTACAGCCACTGAGGCACTACCACAAACAGCAATACCACTCACCACCGCTCCAACAAATGATAAGAATACGCCTGGCGACAGTGACGGCAGCACCGCGGTCTCCCACACCACCTCCCCTCTTTTGCTTCTTCTTCTTGTTGCGTGTGCGGCTGCTGCTGCGGTGGTGGCCGCGTGAGAGTGAGGGAGAGAGAGCCGTGCACCGCCCGCACACACACTCGTCTTTCACCCACTCTCTGTGTGTGTCCCCTTGCATGGACTCTCGCCCTCACCTCATCCCACGAAGCACACACATAATGTGCCCATTGTATATATTGCATGCACACCCATGCAGGCCCGTTGGTGCTCTCTTTTGCACGACACGCACCGCTGCCGTCCTGCCTGGCTGCATGGGCGGAGCACCGTAACTGTTTCTGTTTTGTTTTTATTGCATTGAGTGGGCGACCTCTCTCTCTCTCACCCTGTGTGTGTGTTTTGCTTTACGGGAGCAATGAGAGAGTGTGCGCTGGTCGTCCCACCTGTTGCTGCGCGTCCCCACTGCTGGGTGGACGCCCCCACGCCTCGGCTTTTGTTGTTGGTATTTTTTATCCTCTGCCTGTGTTGTGGTTGAGTGCACCCATCCTACTTTTTTTGATTGCTGGTTTGCTTTGACTGCGGACGCCTGATTCCTCTTTGTGTGTTCTCACATTGTTTTCTTTCTCCTTCTAAAAGTGTCAGCCACTCGTATCCTTGTAAAGCCACCACGTCTTTTTCTTTTCCACATACGCCATGCGTCAGTTGATCCACGTCACCCCACGGTCTGCAGCGCTGCTGGAGCTGCTTGTGATGATGCCTGCGACGTGAATTGCCAGCGGGTGCTTTGCTGCCACCCTGACGTATCCTCTGTTTCCTTGACGATGTAGGGCGTACCGACGGCGCGTGGGCGTCTGTGTTGCTTGTGAGGCACGTGCGTCTCAAACCGTATGATGCGTCGCAGGTGTGCAGCGTCGTTTCAAAGCACCAATGGGCGTTTCTACTCATCATGGCGTCCACAACGGACCCGGATGGCAGCAGGAGGCACTGCGATTCCTCCTGATCTTGCACAGCGACTTTCTTGGACGGCGCGCTTGATTGGCAGCACTTGGGGCTTTTGTGGGAGAAGGTGGGAGGTTGAGGGCATTAGGACGGAATTGTTTTGAGTGGCAGCGTTCCGTTTACTTGCGGCCGGTCGTTGCACTCTTTTGTGGTCTGGCCGCTCGTCTCTTTTTTTTACTTCCCGTCGCAGCACGTGGATAACACTGATCCGAGGAACATTTGTTTGACCGCGTGTGAGCCGCTGCCGTGCGTGGGGCATTGACTATTTGATTGTGTGGGGAGGTGCATTGGAGTGACGAATACTTCTGTTTGGCGTGTCGAGGAGTGTCGGAAT